ACTTGTGTGACTGAAACTTGACCTTGTTTGTTTGTCCACGGAGCAGTTGGAAAAGGCAACAACTTTCTAACCATTAACTCAGCTTTTAAAAAGGGCGATTGGGTCCTTTAGAAACACCTAACCAAATTCTCTTATGTGGACATCTGCGATGTCCAGTGCAGCGTTGACTAGTGAGACAATAGAAAATATTGCACAGCAACTTTTGCCAGAGGAAGAACTGAGCTTGTTAAATCACCTCATTATTATCCTACAATAAAGCGACACTGGCGGGTTGAAGGATAGTGAAGTGAAGATTGAGGCAAAGAGAACAGTGCTCTGTTCTACGCGCCGCTTAATAAAAGGAGTACTAAAAGAGAATGTAGGCAGATTTAGCATAGTGGATTAAGATCTATATTTCCAAAAACTCATTTTAGTCATGTTCATTCGATTCCTGCCTGAGACTTTTTTTGCTCTTATAAGTTCAATGTCCTATATAGAATTCTAAGTAAAAGCCAAGGCGTCCCGGAGAAGCGGGCACACAGCAGCCCGAAGACAATTTGGGCTAGGACCACCTCTCAGGAGCGGAAAGGGATAAGATAACCCATCGAAAAAAACTCCAAGCGAAGAAGTTTCAATCCGTCTTCAGTGTTGGTGCATCACTATTGCGAAATATGCCGCAGGAAGTGTTCAAGCTACAGAAAAGGTATGTATAGGAGAGTTTCAAAGAATCTAAAAAACTAAGGAACTTCCAAATGAAGAGCAGAGTCTGCAGGATATGGAGCGAATCTGTCATATCAAAACCAAGCTTGGGGGGCATTAGAAAGACTAGGGGAGGCATGAGAGATGCGACCGTAATTTGAAGACTTGTCGTATATTCAGCATCGAAACAGCCTCCCCATCAACGGATGTGAGATGACCACTCAGCACACGGGTTCAGACGATATCCTAAGCGAATTATGGAAAGAGTGCGGAAAGTCGATGCTTCTTGCTTCTGCAAGTCTTTTCAATCTTGAAGCTAACAACATGTCTAGTTTATCTCGACATAAACAAATTCATTTGGTAAAGTTTATCTCATTTTCATTCAAGAGTTTTGGACAAAGCGGTTGATTTCGGATAGCGACGATGTTAAGTTCAAGGTACCATCAATGTAGAGATGGCAAGACTATTTGCACATGCTGCGGTCGGCAGAAGCTGTCTCCAACAAAGTCATATAATAAGGGCTTGTCACACGTAATTCTCAATAACGACTGCATCCTTACTCTACTCACAGTACAGCTCTCCCAAAATTCTTCTTCCAAGAATGATGCGTCCTAGAATAAAAGTGAGACTTTCGAAGCTTTCCGAGAAATATTTGAAGGCTTAACTAAACATTTCACACTACTCCACCTCGCTGATGTTGGTTTTAATACGGAGCTGCCACGCAGCTGCTGTAGGTGTAAGAGGAAACAGACTATTGAATTACACCCATTTTGAATTAAGTGCAAACCTTAACGCTGCCGCTGTGCAGATTACACTCGAGCGCGGTGTGAAGTTGGAGCGATGGCCTATACAATTCTTATTCCATGCTTTTACTGAAGGAAAATTCAACTCTGCGTAGGGTAGCTCTATCAATTCTACACCGGCAGCAAGGCTTGGGGATGGGGTGCAACAAGACGAAAACGGCGGTCGACAAAATGGCATGACTTCAGCTAATAACAGTTGGCTCCTCAATCATGTAGGGAATGGAAATCAAACACTTGCAGTCTGAAGGGTGTGCTTCGAAAAATAAATTATACAATAAATAGGTCTGACTTTATCGGCAATTTGAAATTAAGTGCATTGTACTCCATCTGCTTTTTACGAATGCCCTGCTACTGATCTATTTACACATGAGTAAGGTATTGAGCATTAGAGCAAAGAGATCGCTTGGCTGTAGGCATACCCTATAATTGTGTCGCCTGCCTAATTCTGCATGTGCAGACCTCAATTCAATGACCTGCCTCAGCTGTAAACTTCTTAATTCCTAAATTGAAACATTCTTTTAACTCAAAAGCTAGCTTTAGCGCTTTACTGAAGACACGCCTCTCTTATAGTAAGAGTACACTTTGCCGTTCGCTCTTCGCGCACAACCCCATAACCCACCACTCATGTAAATTCCTCACATGTTTATAAAGTACCTTTGCGATTTTGCGAGATAAATGTTAGAAAAGCACTTGGGCCAAAAAATTAGTGCGTTCTACTAAACATCTTCATCATTTGGAAATCATTTTGCACGCTTAGTGTTCCATAAAGTAGTAAAGGTGTACCTTGAATATGTAGGGCAACTTTTGCATTGATAAAGATGCATGGAAGTTTTTTGAATACGTTGCGTCTGGTCCTTTAACACATAGATGGCCTGTCTTCGCTTGTCGTGTAAGCCACTGTTTCCATCCGTTTCTGTCTCTCGTTAGCGTCATCCACGATGTTGGTATTGAAGTGCGGCGGCGACATCCGCAAGGTCCAGGTCCTTACTCGTTACCAGCTGAGAATCCAGCTGGTCCATTCGTGCAACGAACACGTTAGCCCATTGGTCGGCAGCCTCCCGAGGACGTTTTGCTCCGCGAGGAATCCATTCCAGAGTCCTTAGTGTCCATCTGTCGCCAGTCCTTATCATTATATGACCAGCCCATCGACGCTTGCCCTAGAGACGTATTCCGTTGGATCCGAAGACAAAACATTGATTTCATATCTGAAGTACGAAATCCGACGAGATGTTGAGTGCGCCGGTTGTGCTTCAGAAGACGTCGTTCCAGTTCTCTGTGGGTTGTTCGGAGAGCCTTTGACGTAACCACAGTGTCAGGCCACGTCTCTGCTGCGTGGCAGAGCGCAGGAAGAACAGTTGAATCGAACAGGTGAGCTCGGAGTTCTGGGTCGTCAGCTGGTCTGTGGCTTCCTTTAGGGGCCCGAAGGCGGCCCAAGCTGCTCTTTGCCTCCTGTTTAGTTCCTCTTTCAGATCGTTCTCCTTGTTCATTGAACGCCCGAGATATACGTAAGAAGACGTCTCCGCGATTGGAGAGCCTTTCATTTCCTGATCTTCGCAAAAAGCGTTCTTCATGAACTGAGTCTTCTTCCGGTTGATTCGCAATCCTATCCGCTTCCCTACTACGTTTAGTTCCTTCATCATCGTCTCCGCTTCAGTGATGTTTTTTGTGAAGGGAACAATGTCGTCCGCTAAACGGAGGTTCGAGAGGAATCTCCCATCATCTCGTATACTTCTCTTGTTCCAATACAGCGCTTTTATTACCCACTGCAAGGCGGCGGTAAACAGCTTTGGCGACACGGTGTCGCCTTGTTAGCTCGTAAGAGGTCGGTCGAAACATGGTTTGGTCCTAAAGCCGCTGCTTTATGGACTGGATTAAGGCGTATACTACAGCAGGTAGAATCCGTAGTGGTGTTTCTCCAGAGGATATAACTGGATTTGACATGGGCGTTGAAAAACGAAAAAAATTGATGTAGACTCTCTTTGTTATCGATTCCATCTTTTGTCGGGAAGATGTTTGAGTCACGTTTTCGCTTAGTAATGTTGTCGGCGGAGTCGAGAGGATTCCTGTGGTACTTCATTAGACTTCTTCTTGCTTGTGCTACTTCTAAAAGTTTTGATTGCCTGTACTTTCGAAGATCTTCTTGCAAAGCTGTTCTGCAACTGGTATTGGCTACTAGTCGCTGATGTGATGCAGTTAGATACAGCCTCACTGCTCTCCTCCTCTCTAACAGATCCTTGGTGGGCTTTGAATTTCATTCCAAGTTCCTTGTGCGAGGCATTGAGGCGCTTTCACCACAGGCTCTCAGTCCTCTGAAAAGCAGGTCGTAGTCTTCCGTTGGGTCCTCCTCGATGGATCAGTCACAAGTGGTCAGGAGCTCCTGCATTCTGACACCGTCATATACGACTTCTATCCTTCCTCCAACACGCTGGTAGATTTTCTTTTCCTTCATTCGACTGAATCACACTTTTTGCCGAAGAAAGCGGTGATCTAAGCCACTGTGAACGATGGTGTTACTGGGACGTCCACT